AGAAGATTTAAAAACCTTATTACCCTTTACACAACATATCCACTCATATTTTGGGTAAGTAGATATCATACATTTCAGTCGGCACAGAACGTCAATTTCACAGTTGTTTTTTTTTCTCATTAATTTGAGGTTATCTATAGTGGGTAAAATTAATTCAAAAATTACTTCACTAATACATTGATTTAATGCTACAAAAATTCAGAGCATCTAATTAATTATTATACATTAGTTCGACGATTCTTCGATCTACACTCTTAGGTATGTATTTTCGGATGTTGCTGTCATCTCCTTGTAACTTGGTGGTTGAGTGAGAGTATGGGTGCGTAAAACTAGGGGCTGTGGTTCGAGTTCTAGCAAGAGAGTGACAGCAATAACAATTTTTCCTCATTAATAAAGGCTACTGTTAGTGGGTAAAATTAATTCAAAAATTAATCCAATAATACATTGAATTACGCTACTAAAATTCCACGAAAGACAGACGCAAGTGAGGAAAATAAATATCGACTTGTTATTAATTATCGAAATCTTAATGAAAAAACGGTGAAAGACAAATGTCCTCTACCAAAAATTGAAGAAATCCTCGACAACTACGGAAGAGAGTCGCTTTTCTTGGTTTTATTATAGAAGATAGCAAAGTACAGCCTCTTAAAGACAAATTGTTGTCTATTAAGCATTTTCCACAACCTAACACGCCGAAACAACTTCAACCCTTTTTCGGTTTTACCGGGTATTTTAAAAAATTTTTACAGTCATATTCTCTACTTGCGGAGGAGAGATTAATTGATTTATTCAGGAAAAACTATAAATTTGAATTGGGCACATGCTGAATAAAAATATCACAACTTCTTGTATCAGGACCTGTTTTAATTCGGTGTCTCTCACTCCATCAATAAATGCTTGCACTGCCAGTTGGTTGAAGTAGGCAGAGAGGTAGGCTAATCTTACGAGGCTCTCCACAACAGACTTAAATTATTGAAGAGTCTCGTTACTTCGTTGGTTACAGCTATTCAGTTGCTTCTAATGTACCTGTTGTAGATGATTATCGTCGTATCTCATTTCTATGCGGAAGATTCGGGCATCGCTTGGAGTATATTTAACGTCTCTCCTCCTAAAGAAATTATTGGTGTTGCAGTGTTGCCTTTTCTGAATAAATTCATGCCTTTGCCTCTGCCACTGCACGAAGCTACTTCACGAAAACATACCACGAGGTCTTCCCATCGAGTGTAGGAGGTGTAATTTTTACTGGACTTGCACTGGGATTGTCAGCTCTGACCGTAGAGGTTAATTTTAGCCTTTAAATTATCTTATTCCTTCAATCTCTTTTTCCATTATGGTTTCCCTTTCTTGTATTTTCTTTCCCATTCCATTGTTAATATCATTTATCTTGTCTTCCATTCTCAAAAGTATTCCTTCTTGTATGCCCTTTATATCTGTTTTCATTTCCTGCTTCATTTCTTCTTGTCATATTTTCATGTATTCTCTTACTGCTTTTCATTTTTGCTTCATTTCTTCCGATTCGTTTTTTGTTTCTTCTTGTCCTTCAATTTTCTGTTTCATTTCCTTTCACCATTGCCATCAAAGCCTTTATTTGTTCCCTCATTTCTACTTCGATACTTCTGGTTGTAACAGGCATGACTTTTTTTAGAAATTCTTCGACTCTGGTAAAATGTTCTTTCTTCGCGAGCTTTCTGATTATGTAAGGCTTTTCACGGTTATTCACAATCCGTGGAAAATTCGATGGAATTGAACTGGTATTTTTTCTTCTAGGGCTTTCTGGTTTGTTGGGGTTATTTGCGATTAGTAGAAACTTCCAGAAAATTGGCCAATGGAACGTTCTAGAATATTTGATGGAAAAATTCTCCTCATTCTTTTTTAGTCGTCTCTACACCACACCTGACCCCAAATGTCACGTATTCAAGCACCTTTCTGACTATTGACTAATTTACTTAATTACTTACTGTCTAATTAACATTGCTATTACTAATTAATCTTTATTTTTTTACTGTATCACACACTTTATCATTCCTTCGCTATTCATATTTCGTTTTGTATCCCCTCATCGCTAAAAATCGAACTTACACTTCCCAACTCTCGGCAACTTTGAACTTGAGTTGCCTACACGGAATAATACGTAATTTTGCGTTTATAGTAAAGAGATATCTACGCCTAGATTTCTTCAACCTAATGCTTCTATCCCCAAGACCCACAAATTTAACCCAATACAACATCCAATTATATACCATTTATATAACATAACATTCACCATAAATAAACAACAAACCACAATGTCAAATTGTTGTGACAAAACAATGGGAGACTCAATAATATTGTACCTTCCTAAGGCGAACGAAGCTTTCAATACTTACTTAATTTACAAAACGTCTCAATAGTTAAATGGAGGAATTCATTTTTTAGCTATTTAATTGTTCATTTTTATACATCTATTTTTGATTTACCAAATTACGCCCCCACCCCTTCTTTACCCTTTCTCCTACTATCAAAATTCGAATCTGTTCCGTAGCTGGAACTATATATCTACACTATGTCTGATCAGTATTTCGGAAAATTAAAGGGGTAACATTTAGAGACATTGTAGAGTGCATCTCGTGATAGCATCATAATGTAGGGGATGAAAAAAGTATGTCAAAAAGTACCCCAGTTAACGAACCGTCAATGACTGAAAACAGTTGTCGCATTATCTTATCGTCTTTCGTCATCCCAAACGTCAACCGACGAAACACACATACCTATTCGTGACTTTCGCAACAATTGATACGTAGACAAGTCAATTGTACATAATGATTAGTAATAATCTACACTCGTTAGCGTTCAATTATCAAAGTANGTAGGCCTGTAAATTTGAACTGTTAGAATTTTTGGAAAATTTCTGAACTTTTCATCGGGACTGCTGTGAAAAGTCAGTAAGCCAAGTAAAAGCCAAGTACAGAAACTTATAGGTATAATAGTCGTAAGACTGTTTTCTATTGAATGTTAACGAATTTAGTAATAGTACTGCGGAGATAATTTTTAATTTTATGAAGTACCGAAGATAATGTCTTCGCCGTGTAGTTAGGCACAGGCAGCAGACATAGTCAGCAATATTCATAATGCAATATTGATATGCGGATGTACCTATGTCTTCGAGATGCTTTTCGTTAATGTAAAAAAACTCTATTGGAGGGTTGTGCTAGGAGCCACATCTATGGACTTTAGATGTTGCCGAAAATGTACACACTCATTTTAGAAATTAGCCGCATCAGCAGGTATGTTTACTAATTTTGTATAATTGAGGCCAATCTGGACTTTACTACCTCATATATGAATATGATGAAGTATAGTTTGTATACATCATTACCTTTTTATACTAAGCTAAAAACCTTATCCACGACATACGAATGTAAATAAAAGTATTCTCATAAGTAAAAGTGTAAATACAAGTTAAATCCATCCAAATTTTGACAATTGAGTACCGTTGTCGAGGCCCACTGTGCATGGTGCTTCACACATTTTAATCAGAAAAACCTTTTTCACCATACTTTAACCTAAACCAATAATGCACAACACTTCGCACAAGTCAACCAGTGTCTTTTCTAACCATAACCTAAGTTTACAGAAAGTACCATTTAACGCAAACTAATCAAAAAATCCTCTCTCACTATAACGTAATCAAAACAAATTGTGCCTGGTCATCACCCATGTAAATCAGGGTATCCCCCCCATAGCTTGCTAAAGTTTATGATATAAACTACGATGGACATCTGAAGTGTATGTGTGAATTGCACTTAAGTCGAGTGTGCCCCTCAAACAAAACACGGCAGCCAGAAAACTATCATCAGTCAACTTTATGGGGCGCAAGTTGGCTTACGAAGAAGTCGTTATTTCAAGACTGGACCGCGCTAACTCATTATTTATAGAAGTCTCTATAAGCTACCACAATATTAAAATGGTTATCGATACAGGGGCATCCAACACCATCGTTTGCCCTTGTATGGTATCGGAATGGCAAATTCGACCTTTGGCCAAAAGACTGATTTTAACTACAACTACCGGGAAGACTTCACCAATCCATGCAGAATGCAACGTCCACATTAGAATTGGAAATGCGATCCTATACATTTGGGTATTGGTGGCCTACATAGTACATGATGTCATCAGTGGATTAGACCTTCTTCAAGAAAATGGAATCGACTTAAATCTAAACACTACAATACACATCGGTGAAGAAGAGATAGTTATGTTAAATCCTAAGACCAGGCTTGCTGCTGAAGGGTAACATTTAGAGACGTTGTAGAGTGCATCTCGTGATAGCATCATAATGTAGGGGATGAAAAAAGCATGTCAAAAAGTACCCCAGTTAACGAACCTTCATCCCAAGCGTCAACCGACGAAACACACATACCTATTCGTGACTTTCGCAACAATTGATACGTAGACAAGTCAATTGTACATAATGATTAGTAATAATCTACACTCGTTAGCGTTCAATTATCAAAGTATTACTACAAAATACAAAAATAAGTTGAGTGTGAAAATGCCAAACAAAAAGCAATATAATCACATGCAGAATATGCGGATATGGTGGTCACTTATGGATGATGCAATGGAAATGTACTAGTGGCATCACGCGAATACGCGTCATCGTCATTGACGGAGCAATTAAGGCTTTCGGTTAGATCATTACCTTCATGTTTATGTACATCACTGAGTGGTGCGAAATTGTTCATTCTAATTTTTTTTCACATACCTTCTTCTCCCGTAATTTTCCGGAGTACTGGTAGACATAATGTATATATTAACACATTAGTATAAAGTCACAAGTAATTTACAAAAATGCCTGCTTATATTCAAAAACCAAAATTGTAATTGTTTCTATTTGAAATTTGAAAAATTCGATGATGGTCCAAAAAAAATAAGAACTTATTAAAAAGGTTGTACATTTGGAGATATAAATAAGAATATGTGTTTCCGCTATTATAATGATTTCATACTGTAATACATACCTTCATTGATTCAATCCCAAAGTCTGTACAGGAGTGTTCCATGAACATATCAGTTTCAATAAAGCTACCTTCGTCACAAAATACATGGATTCTTTCTCGAGCTGTAAGTTTCCCCTGTAAAAATGATAATAATATTAGTCACTGTGAATTAAATTAGTAGAATTCGTATTCATTTTTTTTTATTTTTTGGCATTCACTTTGGTTTTTCTTTTATACCTAGATCTTAATACAAATGTGTATATAATTAAAAATACTGTAGCTACTTTTTTTAGTTTTATAACTAAATAATCTTGAAAGGAATCTACTTTACAATCTAGTAATGAAATAAAAGGCTTTATCAAGTATTACAAATTACTTTTCAGTTTTGTAATTCAGCATGCTCTTATCGGCATTTAGTCTACATTATCAGAGGTAATCACGATTTCAATTTTAATATTAGCTCTCGTTGTTGTGTATTAACGCGTGTATCAACCTTTCCGCCGTTTCCCGAACGTTCCAGTAGCTGTGCCTATAACATTCGGTCCCAGCGTTCTCCTTTGAGAACATTTCTCTCCGGAACCTTCCTTTCATCTACTCCGTACTTTCGTTTGTATATATATGCCCGCTCATCACACTCAGGTTCGGCTGAAGAGGACCTAAGTGGTCCTAGAACGGCCTGAGGTAGAGGGGTTTTAGTTGGTAGGTCCGAGGACACCTTCCTCGGGAATCCGACACTACCCAGTCGTACGGACGGCTGGGTGTCTTTTGAAGATTTCTCCTCTTCCACGAAAACATAGAAAAAAACACTCGTCTACTCGGGACCACTCTAAAATTAAATCGACTCTGTGTCATTATAAATAAATAGAGCTTGTTGTTTATAAACTAGTGGTTGTTATTTACCTTTACCTCACGATTTAACAGTGGTGTCAGGAGTGGGATAAGATAAATAACTTTGTGAAATCGAGTGAACATTCTAACTCCAATGCAAGTGAGTGCACCGAACTCAGTTTATCGCAGTGCGTGTTAGAAAAACTTCTCTCCATTTATCTTTACCATGCCGGATTTAACTTCTGAGCAACTCCAACAATTTTCGGTAATCATCGCCGACGCTCTCCGGCAGACAACAGGGTCAGCACTGTAGTCATCAGAGCCTCGACTGTCACAGCTTTCAATGCAACCGTATTGTGCAATCGACGGGACGACTGTAGCCGACTATTTCACTCTATTTCAAGGTACCAGCGGTTCAACACGCACACTTTGCACGGGTCTACATGGGTTCTGAGCTCAATGATGTCTTGAAGATCCTGGTGAGTCTCGCTGATCCGGGAACTCTGTCATACAATGAGATCCAACATAAACTGGCAGGTCACTTCGACGTCACCCGTAACAAGTTCGCTGAGAGAATTAAATTTTGGAGCGTTATGCAGAAGCTAGGAGAGACCATCGCTAGCTTCACCTTAAGACTGCGCCAGTTTGCAACGTTTTGCGAGTACGGCACATTCTTCGATCGCATGTTAATCGAACAAATGCTCGCATGGTTGGAATCACGAGAAATGTGCGACGAAATTATCGCAAAGAAACCAGAGAACTTCACCGCGGCATATGAAATCGCACAGTCAGTCAGGACAGAAGCAATCGCTCGCGAGACCAGAAAGATTCACATCTGAGGTGACTGAAAAACAGCAGGCTGTAATGATTTCGACCTTCCGCACCCTGGAACCTGGACAAAAAGTCTACTTCCTGTCTGGCTACATCAAGCTGGTAATGTGGCTCCCTGGAATAATTGTGACACGCACTGGTGACCTTCACTACGAGATCAGTTACCAGGGATAACGATTCAAGCGTCACATTGATCAGATCGCTTTGTTGGCACGAACGAGGACAAAACCAACGACCTAGGATCAACCAATGAGCAACCAAGCCAGAGACGAGTTCACTTCAACGAGACAACAGCGATTGCAACAGTGATCACCAGAAAACACTTACAGCAACAGTCCAAACACCAGCCACACTAGTAAACAGAGCTCCACCTATTACCCAGACCCCAGTTATTCCCCGCAGAGGTACTCGCCAGCGCCAACCACCATTGAGATTCTCTCCTAATTAAACATCCATTTAAAAGAGGGAGGAAATGTTGTGTATTAACGCGCGCATCGACCTTTCCGCCGTTTCCCGAACGTTCCAGTAGCTGTGCCCATAACACTCGGTCTCAGCGTTCTCCTTAGAGAACATTTCTCTCCGGAACCTTCCTTACCTCCACTCTGTACTTTTAGCGTTTGTATATATATGCCCGCTCACCACACTCGCGCAGTCTCTCGTTGATTCTGGACCGCTCTAAAGTTAAATCGACTCTGTGTCATTATAAATAAATATAGCTTGTTGTTCATAACTAGTGGACCGAGCGGCATGGCCTTGAGGTTTAGACCATTGCTTAGCATTCGGGAGGACGCCGGTTCAATTCCGGGTCCGTCTGCCTTGGTCCGAGTTTTTCTGTGGTTTCCTTGGATCACCTAGGCAAATGCTGAGGCAGTAATATTCCACAGATAATCTTTCATTCTCTTCTGTCTTCATTTCGTCCGTCTCATCTTTCTCACCCGAACC